GCTCTCTGCAGAGCTGCTCCTCTTGGCCACCACCACCACCACTCCTTGCTCAGCCCCTCGCTCCACCCTCCCCAGAGGACATCGAGAAGGATGCAGAGCTGGGACTTCCTGCTGCCAGCCTGGCCCAGAGAGACACTGCTAGCACAAACCCCTCCTCTGACCTGATGGAAATGGAGCCTGACACCATGGAAACAAAATCAGTGACTGACTTGGTGGTTTCTTCCTTTGCAGCTGTTCGCCTGCAGGGTGACCAGCACTGGGAGGAGAGTGCAGGCATTGCCATACCTGTGGACGGTGGCCTCCAGCCTGCAAGTGCTGTACATCCACCTTTCCTGTCCCTGGAGGAAGCTGTGCCCCTTCCTGGGGGACAAAGCAGAGCTGCCCGGGCAAGGTCTTCCACAAAGACAAATACTGGGTGGCCGAGTGAGGAGACCTGTGTGGCCACCAGAGGCTGGCTGGCCCACGTGGCACTGGAGGAGGTGGGTGAGGCGATGACAGCCCAGAACAAGGCTGGCGATGCACCCCCATTCCTGGGCCAAGAGGTGACCTGCCCTGCTAATGAACACACACTGCCGCCATCAGCTCATGGCCCCAGCGTGGCCTCTCCCCATGAGGTGGCCCAGGAACTGCTCCCCACTGCTGGGAGGCAAGGAGCATGTGAGGAGCCTGTCCCAACTCCCTGTGAAGAAAGAAAAGCTAATTGTGACAGCTGTGCTGAAAACAGCAGTGACAGTGCCTTGTCACAGGCAAAAAGCAGACAAGCGATAAACAAGGAGGCCTTACGGAAAGTGCACAATAAAAATCACATAGGTTTTCCAGATGCAACCCAGCTCTTAATGGATTGCAGCAGCACTTCAGGAGTTTTAACTCGCCTCTTCTGGCTCTCATTTGGGGTGAGGACAGACCTCACATCACCCAGCCCATCTCAGGAAAGGGTAGATATCCCACTAGAACTATCCCAGCAGACCAGTGGGTGCCTGGGGGCTGATGCCGTCAGAAGGGAGATGCAAACGTCCCCAGCTGGACCACCCTTTGAGAAAGAGTTGGTAAGCAGCCAGGGGCTGGATGCAGGAGAGCCCAGGAGAGAGGCAGGAAATGTGGCTCACGAACAGCCACGGCCTGTTCAGACTCCCCTTCCCACAGAACAGGCTACTGAGGTGAGGAAGGACTCTCCTCTGACTTCATCTGTAGGGCTTTCCGTCTCCTCAAACCGAATTCCCTTGGGTTCACTGGGGAAAAGAGCAGGAGACCACAGGGATTCAAAACACTCCTTCCTCTGCTTTAACCACAAGAAGGATGAGCAGACCCCTTCTGACCCCATCATGACCAGGTCCTTGGATTTTTCCGCAATTAAGAAAACATCACCACCACAGCTTGGGATGGACAAGTGCAGCTGTCGGCTGTCCTATATCAGCTGCTTCCACAGGCCTGATGACAGCGGGGAACATGAAACCACCATCCCCATGTGCAGCATGTTTCTGGGGCCCCTCACCACCCCACCATCCAGCAGCCGCAGTCTTCCTGGGACCCCTGTGGGCAGTTACCCAGTCTCCATTGCTAGGGATGTGGCAGGGCAGGACCCTCATGTCCAAGCCCTCAGCCAGCTGAAGGACCAAGCATGGATGAGCCCTGCAGATTTCCCTTGCTTCCTAGCCTACACCACAGAGCTTCAGGAGGTTGTGGGGAAGCTTTCTGGGAACCAAGCAACCCATCTGCAAAATCAATGTGCAGAGCAGGGCGCTGAGAGCAAGGGTGCCCTTGGCTTAGCTTCCTGCAACCTGCTGTCCAGTTGCCAGGAGCTACTGAAAACAGAGCAGCCCCTCAAAGAGCTGCAGGTTGCGCTGAGGGTGACATTTGACCACCTGGTTCAGTTGGCAGTGGCCTGCTTCCAGGTGACGCACTGCCAGCTGTGCAGGCAGAGGCAGCAGGAGCTCGGGGCCGCGCTCGTGGACGTGGTGGGCACCTACCACCAGCTCGTGCAGGCTGTTCACCAGCAGCTTTGCAGGCAAGGCTGCCCGGATCTGGGTGCCAAGCTCCTTGCCCGCCAACACACAGCCCTTACAGCTGCCATGTTTTGTCTCCTGCAGCAGTTCAGGGTACCCCCGTTGTTGTGACGGGGTTTTTTGGTGGCACATGGGCGCACTGGGTGGGGAAGAGCCCAGCCATGTTCCCTCTGTCCACTACCAGGCTCTCCCGACAGGATGTTTAGCCCCACAGCTTGAGAATGGTCACGGAAAGATGTGTCCGTCCGTGTCAGCTTAGCTCCACCAAGAGCCTCCCTGTCCAGGGGGTGGTCATGGGGCAGGGGATACCACCCGCCAGCCTAGCTTTGTGCAATTCTGCGTACACAATCCGTATGCAATATGCAAATTTGTAGAGTACTTCAGTGGCTTATGTATCTTGCCTGGGGCTTGTCCCTCACCTCCCAAAGGCCTTGCAGGTGGCCAGTCTCAAGGTGTTGTCTTAGCTGCCTTCTGTCACCTGTGGAGAAAGACAGGATCCTTTTGTCTTGCCTTTCCTCTCGCTCCTTACTCTCCAGGCAGACTGTGGAGTGACGTCAACTCCCACCCTGGCCTGGCATGAACGAACCCAAGCTGCTTTGTCCACCTTCTGTGGCTGAGTGTGTCTGGACTTGTAATGGAAATCTCTTTGGGAACAAAGCTACGCTCTATTTAACTGCTTTTCCTTGCGAGGGCTGAAGAGAGGGTTGTCCCAGGCAAGGGAGACACCACCATATCCTGCTCTTCTGATGCGCTTTCTGTGTGTCAGCCAGCACTTGTTTCCGTTTGCTGATGCTTGAGAAAGTCCCTGATTAACCCCCCATGCTAGTTATGGATCCGCGTCTTCCAGAAGGAACGAGTAAGCCCCGAGACTGAAATGCCATCTTTACAACTGTGGAGATGACCCATTACACTGGCCTCCCTAGGCGAGGGCAAGCCCCTTTTCCCAACCTTGTCAGTAGCTCCTTCTTCCGTCATGTGCTATATATCCATAGCTACGTATAATGTGTTTGCCCTTAAAGGTCATCTAGCTGTGCATCCCTAGTGAATTCACTCTAGCGCTGGAGGCATGACCTCGGTGCCCCCTGATGAAGAGGCCAGAGGCAGGTCCACGATTGCTGCTGTCAAACTTACGGGCTTGTTTGGGAGCGCTGGCTGTCTCCGAGGGATGCCTGCAGCAGGTCAGTTGCTGCAGCTGAGCGTGCTCAAGATGGAAGGGTTGCATCGGGCAGCAGAGGAGCATGGGCGGGCCACGAGAGGTGGCCAGCTCTGCCCATGCACACCGCATCTCCCCAAGCACCAGGGCAGCATGGGGACAGGATTGTCCTGTGGCTCTGTACATCTGAGGGAGGCCACCCTCGCTTTTTGCTCATTCTTTAATGCTTCTGGAGGGAGTAAAGGGCAAGTCCTTCAGCTGAACCCTGGTGCGGAAGAGGATGGAAGCTGGGGCAGAAGGGAGTGCTGCAGCACTCGTAAGAGACCTCCCTAACCAAGCAGACTAACAGCCAGGCAAGCAAACACCCATAGGAATTCGGCAACCTTCAGCAGCCCTACACCAAATCCCCTACAGCTGCTACTCTCACAGTGTGCCTACAGGCAGCAAGCGAGCTAGCCAAGGGCAGTCTGCTTTCCTGGTTGTGCAGGGACAGGGTGGCCAAAGGACCTTCAGCCCCTGGGGACGGCAGCACTGCCAGGTGGTTTGGGTTGGCGTATGCTGCTGCCTAGCAAACTCCGGGGCTCAATTAGAAAGTTGAAGTCTCTTACGCTGATGCACAAGTGCAGACCTCTGACGACACACCAACAGCTGATGAGCGGGAGGACACGAAGAGTAAGAACTGGAAGAGCCCATGGGACAAGAGCCCAGAGGGCACAGCTAAGCAACAGCCACCGGCAAACACACATTCAGCCTGTGTGGGGAGCAAAACCCTGTGTCCACCAACAGCTGCTGCAGCAGCAGACCCTACTGACACTGTCTCATGGGCACCCAGTTCCAGGTGGTGTAAAAGGCCCTCGATGTGAAGGAAAAATGAAAACACGTAAGCGTATGAGATAGTAATTTACCTCAGAAGACCTTCAAGTCCTTCAGTGGGTGGTAAAGGCATAGTCATTGACTGTGAGGGGGTTTTTGGGTTTGGTTTTTTTGTTTGGTTTTTTTTGTTGTTTTTTAGCAACAATGGCTGAGGTAACATACCGGCTTAGATGCATCAAAAATGCTTTCTGCTGTGGCTATGAAATACGTCACTGCTCTCTGTGCAGCGCACAATCAAATCCCAGGTACCTTTCCAGGAGGAACGTCGGCATTCGTGAACTTCACACATCGGTGTGTGATGATGTACCGTGCATGCATCAGTAACGGTAAGGATGCAATGGGAGTTTAAGAGTAAACGTTTTATTTTAGATTAGATGCACAGGATTAGCTATAGGCTTCAACAACTCACCAAGTCTTCAATTCAACTGGTTTAAAGTTGTTAGGACATGGCGCACCTGGGAACTGTTTATCCACTGGCGCATCACTTCCCATCTTGTGTTTCCCAGTTGGAACAGCACTGTCCTTTTCCCTGGGAAGGAATTTTCCTCCCCAGTGAGCTTTGCAATTCTAACCTCACCTTACTTACTGTTTAACCCAGATGAAAGAAATACCTTAAAGCTCTCCTCCCTGTCCCAGAAAAAGTGTAGATGCAAGAGTCAGAAACACTCTTAACAAGCATCTGCAAAGAAGTGAGACTGAATTCCTGTCAGTTTTCACTTGATCCCAGGGCTCCATCGGCTTTTGTTTTCTGTTCAAGGGGAAAAGTAATTTCCATCATCGTACTGCTGAGGTAGAATGTGTCACTCTTGACAAGGTCCTTAAACAAGATTTAAGCAGAGCTGTCTTCTCTATGCACATTCTTGCTGGTGCCTCTGCTTGAAATTTGGAGTTTGCCTCTCTTGTCTGCACAGCTCCTTAACATCACAAAATAAAGAGTTTTCTTGTGCATTGTCACGCTGAGGTATTTCCACTTATTTCACTGTATCTGGTAGCACATAGCCTTTTCCAGAAGAGACTCCAGCTTTCAAGGCTGCTGGCCAGCTTCGGGTCTCATAGTAAGTTGACAAGACATCAAAAACTGTCAGGAACAGAGAGATGTACAATGCTGTGATACCGGTATCAATAGCAAGCTATTAATAACGCACCCCACTGGCTGCAAAACATCAGGAAACGATCATAGCTGACGCCAGAGAAGGTTAGTATGGGGTCTGCATTCCCTCTCATGTAACATCTGACGAGCACCTGCTTGAAGCAGCTTATCTAGGAGCAGACAACTATTTTGAAGATGGCTTTGTGGAGCTCTGGCTAGGAAAAGAAGTTGTGTCACCGAAAGCAAGGTGCCTCCAATCACCGTTTTGACTAACCAGTACTGCCCATCTGTGCTGCTGATGGCAGAACACCCATGCTGGGTCATACCCACTGTGCTTCCACCACTGCTTCTCAGATTCCGTGTCTCCACATCAGGGCTCCCTTGGGATGCACAGTGGTCTCTAGCAGCTAAGCTTGGTGCTCTGCAGAGCCCTCCGCCACCTTCTCTGCCTTGTGCTGACAGAGATGGCAACAAAGTCCTCATGCCAGAGATAACAGCTTACTAGGGCTGGCCTAGGACACGAGTCCCTCCGTAGTCCCTAGCAGAGAGGTGTTCACATTACAAAGCCACAGACTGCCAGCAGAGGTGGAGGAACATGGGCACATCCACCGATGTGAGCAGGTGGCCCAGCCCATGGTCATGAGATGGAGCCATCACACTGGTATAGCGCACCAACACCCCACCCTGGCGTGTTAAACCTCACCTGAGTCCGACACAGGCCTGACAACTTCTGTCCTTCTCCCTTGCCTGGGACCTTGTGAGACTTGCAGCAACAGCACCCTCCTCACATCTCCCCACACTAACCTCACTGCTTTGTGCAAAGCAAGGGTGATGCAAGCCCTGCTCCTCCAAGAATGGGCTGCTCCAGAGAAGCACACAAGACCTTAAAACAGGGCCAGCAAGGATAAAACCTAGTAAGAGAAACCTCTGCTCTCAGTGTTTTCCCCCATTACACAGCACCAGGCCTCCATTTTGAAAATTCTGCTGCTTGATAGCCACCCCCCTCCTCCAGCCCAGGCAAGTGACAGGACATGGCTCTGCCTCTCACCTTGATTAATTGCCAGCGTCTCTGAGTGGTAGTTCTTGGTGTTAACGTTTTTCACCATGTACTCGCGAATGGGGAGGCGGGCTGTTTGCAAGGACTGCTCCTGCGCCCTTTGCAGAGTCAGCTTCTGCAAGGGAAAGAACAAGGTGTCCAAACTTGCACATGCATAGCATGCATATCATTTTGGGTACAAGCAGCTACGAAGCCGAAAACTGCCCTAGGGCTCATTTCACCCAGACTGCTGCAGTCTCTCTCAGCCTGGTACTGGATCCAGGCAGAACCTTGAGGAAAAACAGATGGTAGCACCATAGTGATGTCTCAAATTGAGGCAGCAGCAGCAGTGGGTGCTACCAGTGGGATGTCTCTGCTCTCATGAGAGACTGGGGCAGCCAGCACCTTCAGATTCCAACAGGCTACTACCCACCTTGTGAATACTTTCATCCACCAGGCCTCCAAGGACGTACACTTTCTTTGGATCAATATCTTCAAGGACTAGAAACAAGATAAGCACTTGCTCACCACCACAGAACAGTAAAATCCTGCGCTACGCCATTCCCCATGCAAGACCCCACTTCCATGAGAAAGCTGTGGCCAGAGTCACCCATCACCCTGGAGCCTTGGACCGTGAAGGAGGCTGAGGCTTCAGAGACAGAAGTGTCTGCCTGAACCCCCAGGCAGACTGAAAGGGGGAGATCAGACGTAGGCTGAAAGCACCGAGTGCCAGAGATACCATACATTGCTCCCTTTAACCGTTCTGAGATGTGGCTGATCTGGTCAGTCGGATCCCAATCTACTCTGCAGACGCCTTCCCACTATCAAGGCCACCTACTAAAACCTTCCCCCACCCTTAGCAGATTCTTTATGAGTAAGGCACTTGCATAAAACAAGAAAGGGATCTACGATCCTATGATCCCAGGAACCTGTGGCCAGTTAGAAATGGAAGGAGAAAATAAACACAGCAGCAAATTAAGCAATAAAGGGAATGTTGTAGCTCCTGTGTTATTTCAGAGAAAGATATAACTGAGACTGTATTCAAAACTGCCACAGCATCTGCACTTTGCCACTTTGTAGTATTACAGACTGCAAAGGGTCTACACGCAGGTTTTAAGTCTGCTGCAGATCACACACAGCCCTGCCTCGAAACCTCATTCCCTGTCAAAACAGACCAAGATATGAATAGATTTAGCATGAGACCTAAGTACACAGTGTATCTCATGCAATTTGAGACAGTGAATGCTTGGAATTGAATCACCTGAAGTATGAAATAGTCTCGAAAAGAAAAGCTTAAAAATCAACCTTTTGCCCTAGTTCCCCTGTGCCTAAAGCAAGTAAAATATTTACCATTCTCAGAGTCAGGAGTGAGGTAAACAATTATATCTAAAGGAAACAGGTCCAGGTAACTTTCTTGAGTTGTATCCATCTGAAAAATACAAGACAGGAAGAGAAGAAGCCCATTAGCCCAAACTCCATCTGCCAGAGCAAAACCCACTCTCAGACACAGAAATATACTGGAACTGACACTACTGTCTTGGGTGTTTAAACTCCTGCAGATAGAGTATTTTTTTTAACTTGGAAAATGTTTCTGTATGGGCACGGAATGATACATATCTCAAGATCCATTAAATTCTCATCAAAATTCCTAGATGTGGTTTGAGGGAGGGAGATCAGCAATAATTACCAAATTTTAAATGAGATTCTAATTCTTGAGAGATTCAGGAATCTCCACTTCAGGTGGTTTTCTCCCCTCACTGTTACTGTAGAACACACGACTCCATGTCCCTGTCATAACCTCTAAGTGCGGGTGTCATGCTCCAGTCAGACCAAGCTCGGTACAAAAACCCAGGCCAGGAACACATGACCTGCCCAAAGCCTGACCAAGCTTATGTGTCTGCCTGTCCCAGCGTCACAGGTCTCTTTGCACAAGTAGCATCTGGAGAAGGAATTCCTCTCCCACAGGCAGCAGGGACATGAGCTCTAACCAGACGGCCTTGCACATCGCTCCATTATCTGTCAGTTCTTGTCTCCTGCAAGAAGATCTGACCTTAACCACTGTCACTGAACTGCATTCCCACCACCCGAGCCCCCCTCAGCCTGTCCTGGGTCAACACTGAGGGCGAGCACTGTGGCCGCAGGGTGCTACGAGCCTTGAAAACACTGTGGTCAGAAACCCTTACCAAATAATTGGAGAAGCCATCGTTCATGCGAAAACACTCCTCGTAGATCAACGAGCCCACCACAAACTCCGTCAGACAGAGCCAAAACGGCTTTTTAGGCCGCCTGTTTGCTCCGTAGAGTCTCCTGATCTGGGAGGCGAGGCGGCTTGTTTCCTTCCAACAAATAACAAGCACAGTGACCCACAAGTCTAGGGGCAGGGGGTAACACAGCTCCATTCAGGGCCTGCAGATATCCATCACACCCGTGTCGCTGGCTGGTTGCTGAGGCTCTGGAAAGGGTGTTCCCAGGGAGCACAGCTCAGCTGCCTCTGGATCTCAAGGAAACCCAGTAGGCTGGGTGTGCAGCCAGCCAGTGCTGGAGACCGGGCAGCCACGCGCAGGCCGGGGGGTGGAGGGACAGGCAGAGACTGGAGGGACCAGCATCGCCAAAGACGCTGAGCTCAGAAGAGCGGCTGTGCGTGCACTCTCACGCACCCCGGCTCTAGGTGAGCTGGAGGGTTTCTTAGTTTCCCAGCACAGCCAGAACAAACCAGTGACCTGCCCCAGCCACCTCCTCCTCTCCCTCAGCCCTGTTTCAGAGGGCTCCTCTCTGCTCCCTCCCTGCAAAGAGCACCTTCCAGAACCAGCACAGGGCAGGACGCCTTCCAGGGCAGAAGCGGAGAGGGACAGACGGATGACACGAGCAGCCACCAGGCCCCGCCACGGCTGCGAGCGCG